TCCCAAGTGCTCTACCCTTTACGAATCTGTTTTAGCACACCCACTCACCAATGCTTATCTCCCGATCAGGGTGTCTCCATAGTCTCTTGGAGATGAACTGCTGTCCACTGTTTCAAAATTGTCATAGATTTGGCTTGACCCTACAGCTCACTGTTTCATGTGACTAGTCCCACTGGAGTAATGAAGACCATTCACGTGGGCCTTTGTTTGCAGTCCAATAAAAGGAAATGCATGTGCAGATTTCTACCCCTGCACAAATTCTGGTTGAAAATTAACTGATGTTAGGGGGACTGTGTGTGGTGTCTTAGATTGTATGTTTGCTTCTTTGCTTGCTTTGTAAAGCACTATGCATACTTATGGAGCTTTATCAATATGTATTCATTCATATTGGACTTTTCCCCCCTTCTGTACTAAATCAACTGAATAAAATCATAACATCTGAAAAGGGAGAAGGAACTTTGTCATTGAGGTTTTTCAATTTAATTTTAAAATCGAATCTTATTTTAAAATATCACAGTTCTTTGCTGGCAACAAAATCACCATAAGGTTAATCACAAACTCTCTTCCATTAAATGGTTACAACTTCTAGTGCAAACACAACTTTTTGCTATAGTCCCATATGCCCAAAGACACAGAAATTTTAACATCAGCTCTTTTAATTTTTAACAATTGAATGAACATGGGATTTTTTGTTTTAAACAGAGTACTAAATAAAATGATTCCTAATTATGGAATATCCATAGTATTAAAGCTATTTGCTAATCTGTTAGGAACAGAATGATTTTGAAAGCACATTTTAAAGTGTTGTATTAAGAATTTAACACTGACACAACCCTCATTCCATTCCCCACGCAGGCTAGTAAGAGATTTAATCTGCAGTCTTTACTCAGGCTAAGCCCACCCGCATCAGGCCCAAAGTTCGCAAGAATTTTACAGACACGTTTAAGTCTTTGGCAGCAGGGATCTGACCACTTTGAGCATCAGTGTCCTTTGCCAGCTGGTCAAAGAGAGCACAGATGCGAGGAAAGCAAATTGTCTGCCCACTGGCAAAAAAATACTGAGCAGCAGCAAACAAGAAAGTGTGTGTGTGTGTGTGTTGGAATAAATAAAATTAAATAGGAAATGTTTCTTGTTACGTTCTTTGCAGTATCTATTTCTACAACGTTATTGCAGCAACAAAAAGCAACTGTTCCTTCTCTAAAATCCTGTCAGACTGAATTTTAAAGATTAATTACCAAGAACATAAGTACAACGAATAACAATATTCAAATAAAGCTACAAATGTTACTCCTTAAGAAAGTACCCAAACAAATAGTTCAATGGATCTTGGCAAATTAGGATAATTAGGTAATTATCCTCTCTCCCTTTGGTTAGTTAAAGAAGAAATGCCTGTGGAAAGGACACTAAACATCAGAATTTGTTATAATATAAAAGGAACCTTGTGGGTTAGCAGATATGAGAAATGAGTTAGAAAAATCGATGGGACAGGAATTTGCAGCTCATGGGTTGGATTGAGCTGGGAGAGGGAGTCTGTGTGTAGATTAATTAAATTCTGCAATCAAAGTCTTTTTCTCCTCTTACATATCCCACCATCACTATTACATGATCAACAGATTTTTATTAAAGGTAATGCTTTCCCTTGCAAAATTCCACCGTGAATAACCTTAAGGTTGGATTTACTTTTCTAAATACTTCTTGCAAACGGTATGTAATCCAAGAGCACATTTGTTGGCTGTAAAGGTGTACAACAGCAATTTTTGCAATGACAGTGCAGAGAGGGAATATGAGATCTGTGTGCTAATGAGCTGACACTGCAGAGGCTAGAGCAATGTATTGTAGTGCACTACAAGTGCAGAGCGGACAGACATAGGCGGGTTATTTCTAGGGAATGTGATCTACAGAACCTTAAGCATAATTCGACATTAATGCTAACATACTCCATCAGAGATTATAATATAAACCTGAAACATGCTTCAGTGATGAAGTTATTATACATTTAAGCTGTTACATTCAAATTATTTTGACAAAGACTACTCACTCCCTTTGTGAGAAATTTTGAAGAAAAGATCTAATGTCTGTGTTTTACCTCCTTTTTATTTATATACAGCTCCAGTTACTTTTTCCCCTGGTGTTTTCTCTGCAGATGGATGGGTGCATATTTTAAAATATGTAATAAATCAGCAAAACTTCACCAATAAACTTTAATTCAGCTTTTTCAGGGAAAAATTGAATTCTTAGTTGAGTGCTTTCTCTCTCTCTCTCTGCAGATATCATAACTCTAAATAAACAGATGGATGGAAAGCTACTGTAGATATATCTGCTCAGTACTGAGAATGGAAGCAGGGTGTACAGAGACTATATAAGAAAACCAGATTATGCAGTATTTTAATTGAAGAGGGGCATTAGAGGGAGTTTGGGGCAGGGGTTTTCTTGCCCCTGAAGGAATTTTTCCCCCTCTTGGGATATTGCCAAATCACCCCTAGCAGAGGTGGCTTTTTATCTCGGTCTTGTGAAGATATTTAGAAGAGCCTTTTCTTTCTTCCTCTAGAATGCACCAGACTGCACCAAGTGGGATGTACAGTCTTATCAAAACATTTTTCGGAGTAGGATGCCCTCTTGTTTCACTCTCTCACTCACACGCCCCTACCTGCAAATACTTCCAATTCAAAACAGCAGGGTAATGGCATTTGATGGTTTATGGATATTGACTAAAACCCACATTATGCTTGGACTACATATGGGACAGTCACTGATTTCCCGCCCCCCAATTCCTTTCCATCAGCCCCTCACAGAGTCAGTCACAGTGATTCTTACTGGCGATGGGAATCAGTGGAGTCACTGCAGGTTTCTCGAATGTGGATCCCTGCCAATTGCAGATATCGATAAAAAGCGTGTGTAACAGCACTTGAGACAATTTATTCTTATTTTCAAGAGGAGTAAAAATGTTGAGAGAGGAACTTTCCTTCACTAATACACTGCCCCCTGAAATTACCCACTACTGCATTAGGAAACGACAAGCTGATTGAGGATACTTAGGCCAAACAGTTTTACATGTGAGCCATGCAGTGTGAAGAGCCATTAGTTCATCCTAGTACATTGGTATGTATGAGCATTCCGACTTTCAAAGATAATTGCTTGCAGATCTGAGAAGAAGGACAGCCCTTCTAGTTATTTATTTGTAACTGCAAGGACCCTACGTGTTCAGAAGGTAGGATTGTAAATATTCTTCTATCAGCATATGAGGTCAGTGGCATAGATAGACCCAAGGTCACCTTTTCATTTCCTTTCTTCTATTTATTTACCCTTATATGTTATTGTTCAATACACGGTAGAAGTTGATATTCTAAGGTGCTTCCAGGGATTTATCTTTTCCCAAATTTCACCACACGATATGTTCCCTGGAATATGCAGCACCATTTTCAGTTTGCTACAGAAAACCAACTCATAAAATTGCTAAATTACCATAATTTTCACATGCTAAACAACCCTCAAACATGGTTAGCTCTCAGAAAATTAGCAATGCGCTGACTAAATAATAAACTGACCATTGACAAAGGGAGCATGGCCCACTTATCTTAAGAGGAACCTATAGAAGTTTAAAAAACCCAATTTAATTATTAATCAGCGTCGCTGTTTAATGTATTTAGTTTAAATCCATATAATTGATATTTAGGAAACTATATTTGAGATACAGCCTCTTGAAGGGATTACACTGATTAAGGATTAACAGCCAGATGTTTGTTGTAAGAGCTGTTGAGGCAGGATAGGATTAGTAAAATAAGATGCAAAGAACAGACATACTTTTTTGTGTCTTTTTTAACACATTACCAAATATTATAATTGGGTATCTTAGATTTTTAAGTCCTAATCCCAACCCCTTAAAAAAGGCTAACCCTGTACTATTAGGAAGGAGGCACATGGGGTATGTATTAGAATAGCAATCCACATTTTTCACAGCAATATCTTTACAGAATACTTTCGAACTGTCAAATTTCTGGCCAAATATTTCAAATCCAGAGGAAGTTAAATTATCTGGTCATCCAGTCTAACAAAATACGTACTTAAATTATAGTGATCTAGAGAGGAACTGTACAAAAATGATTATATCACAAAACAAAACATTAAACACTCTCTAAATTAGCAGTTCAAGATACGAGGTTTTAAACCTACCAATAACAATGTAGTACTGCATATTAGTACAATGCTTTCTTTTCAGAAAACTTTCCAAGTGTTAGGATCTGTATAACAACTTCATTCAGATATAACCACTGTTATGGGTAATTTAATAAGTCTTGCTAAATGCAGAACACACACCAAACTTTCAGGCAGGGATGTTGTTTCTAAACACACAGACACTCCTCTCCAGCCTCTAGTTTGCATTGATTGCTGCTGGAAAATCAAATTATATGGAATTACTGCATGTGCAGAGCTATTTTTTGAAATGCCAAGTTTTCTCTTCCCTTTCCCACTCCCCTCAGCTCTAACAGCATTCATCAGTTTGCAGTCTCGTTGGTTTTGATCAGGACTTTCTCAGTCAGGAAAAAAAAAGGAGGATATTTTAGGGTAGGAGGAGGCCAGTAAGCCCATCTAGCTCTGTTTCCTCAAGGTCACTTGAAAATGGCTTTTTTTCATTTTTTATTCCTACATGGTGTTGCTTGTCAAATTATGCAATTATGCTTAACAATAAAGTAATATGTATCATCAGCAGGGGTTCACTAAACTAAGACTATAAATCTTGGCTTTATAAATAAGTCTAGCTAAAAACCATTAAAAAATTTACATTTTTAAGGGGTGAAGAGAAGTGGTGATAAAACTTTCCCTAAGATATTATCCAACCATGCAATGCTGCAAACCCATTAAGCCTTTTGTCAGTACCACATTCGTTGCACTAGAGTACACGAAATATTAATTAGATCTCCACTATGTTAGGGAGAATTTTTAAAAAAAATGCAGACAGGGACACCAGCATGCTAAATTACAGAAAACCAGCAGATACTTACAAGCATTAGTCACCGAAAAACTGTTGGAGGAGTCCAAATGGTCTACATGATAGTTCAAATGGAAGGGCTTTTCTGTGATATTTTGGTTTGTGTTGTATAACTGCACAGCAAATCGAAATGCACTGTGTTCCTGAACAGTATTTCTCATGAAAAGTCCACCTATGGTGAAAAAAAAACAAAAGGACAAAGATCTGAAAAGGATTCCTTAGAAATAGCAGGCGTAAGAAGCTACATTTACAGGCCATATGTAGCAGCAGTGAACACATGAAGCTAGAGAGGTGCATATAGTGCATATATTAAATCTGTACTCTAAAATTGTCAGCCTTGGGTGCCTAAAACTAGGCTCCTAAAGCCATATACAGGCATGTAAATAAAGAAGTGTCCTGCTTTTCAGAGGTGCTGAGCACCCCAAACTCCCACTGAAATCAAGGGGAGCTGCAGGTGTTCAGCAGCACCTTTGAAAATCAGGCCACTTTTGTTTAGGTCCCCAAATGTGGATTTGAGAGACTAAATGTGGGCATGCCCCCTCCCTGCTTTTCCCATGTACAGTGTGCTGCTGTGGGGCACGATTTCCTACGAACATAGGTCAAATCTCCCTTTGGGAACAGAGGTGAACAAATACGAAGAGTAATTCAGCATGGCTTGGAGTCTCTTAACCCCCAAGGCCCATAGGCAGGGAACTTTTTCCCTACAGCTAAATAATAACGAAAACTACGCTCATAAAGCTCCCCTCTTTGTGCCATTAGTAGGCAGGCGATTGATTATTTTCGTGATTCTGTTGCACTGCCCTGCTCTCCCACGCCCGGTGCCAGCCTAGGGCGCACACAGCCCCCTGCCTCTGCCGCTGGACAGGGCAAGGAAGTCCTTCCACGCCGCTGTTTCGTTCTGTTCAAAACAAGGCAAGTTGATCCTGGGAGGTTTTTACAATTTCAGAAGAAACCACGCTGGTGACTTCCAGGAATGCGCCCGATGGAAAGGAAAATACAATCTCCCACCTCCCTCCCCAGAGAAAGTCCCTCTCTTCCTAAGACCACCAGGGATCTAGGAGAGCAATGCACCCGCCCCCTCCCCGTTTCATGCAAACAGCTGCCTTGCTTTAACCAGACCCCTGTCTCTTCCCCTATGGGGGGGGGGTCCTATGTTTAATGCCTCGAGGTGAGAGAGTTGCAGCTGAAAATGCAAAGGAGATGAAATAACTCGGCTCAGCTCAAGTTCCATTCCCGAAAAGATGGTGCTTACCTATGCTGATGGTGTTTGGAAATCCTCCCAAAGACTCCCCCAAAAGACCCGCCACCAAAAGCAGGAGAGTCTGAGGCACGGCTCGCCCCATTTTTCTTCAGCCCCTTCAATTCAGTTCCTAAAACGAAACTGACAGAACAGGCATGGGGCGCAACGGGAGAGGCGATGAATAAGAACAACGCTGGCGAGCAGGCGGCGGATGCTGCAAGCCCTCTCTTCTTCCTCTCCACCCCAGCCGGGAAGGGCTCCTGGACTGCGAGGCTGGGCTTGCGCCCCTGTCTCTCGCCCCCCGCGCAGACGCCCCCCAAAAGCAGGGACTTCCCCCCCCCCCACCCCCCAAAGATGGTGGGCAGAGAAGAGGAAACGATCGCCCCCTTCCCCGTCGGAGAGGCTCCTCCAATTGGGCCGGGATGGGGGTTATTGATCAAACTTGATCTGACGTTGAATGCAAGCCGCACATCCTTCAAGTCCTCCCCGCAAACTGCAGCCCCCCCCGCCGCCCCCCAGCCTGCAAAGCCCCGGCGCCGGCGCTCGGCCGCCTCAGCAGCAGCCCAGCGATGCAATCAATAGGCACACACCAGCCTCACGTGGAGCTGCCTTTAAAGCTGCATTGCCCGTGTGTGTGTGTGTCTGGGAGACGAGGGGGAGGGGAGAAGGGGGGGGCAGGAAAGAGAGGGAGGGAAAAGGGGAGGAAGGAAGGAAGGAGGGAAGGAAGGAAGGAAGGATGAAGGGAGGACGGGGGACTGGAAAAGGAGAGAGCAGGGAGAGGCTGCTCGACCTAATCAGGGAGCAGCAGCAGCTGGTGCTGGTGCGGAACGCTCCCTGTGGAGCGCTGCCTGCCCCGGGGACCGAACAGTGGGTGCGGGGAATAGGAGGGGCAGGGCTGGGGAGGGGAAGGCAGCAGGGATGCGGGGGGGGGGGGGGGGGGGGGGGATGGAGGTTAAAGAAGACCCACTGGGATTGAGGGGGGAGGAGAAAAAGGAGACCCTTCAGGGGAAAGAGCGGATGGGGTGGGGGGAAGGGACTAGGCGGGGGGGAGGGATCCACCAGATACGGTGGGGAGGGACATTCCCTAGGATTTGGGGGAAGGGGAGGGGGAGAGAAGCAGGGAGCCACCAGGGACCATTCCTCTGCCCATCCCCATGGGCGAGGGTCTGAGTGGGGCACCCACCTGGGTTTAAAGGGTGCTGAGTGGGGCCCCACCAGGAAGGGGGGATAAAAGGAGAGGGTTGCCAAAGGGGAAGCTCCAGCTAGTGGTGAGGGAGGCAGGAGTGGAGGGGTGAGGAAAAGGGGAGAGCGGCAGAGACGAGGCCATGTGTGGAGGAACCACCACAGACCAAGACGGTGGGGGAAGGAGATGGAAAGGAGGAAGAGAAGGGGAGAAAATGGCTTCTGAGAAGGGAAGCCCTGAGAGATTGAGGGGGTGAGGAGAGGCAGCGGGGCCTGGACGGATGAGGAGGGAGAGCCCCCAGTGACAGGGATTGGGCAGAGGGGGTGTTAACACTGGTGAAGGAGCCCTCCAAGAAGCGGTGTTGGAGCCATTGGAAGGGGAAGCATTTGTGAAGAGGCGGGAGAGAGGGGGAACCACCAGGGACAGGAGGAAGATGGCAAAGAGAATCCAGCCCTGGAGAGAGGAAGGGATGAGGGGTCCCAGACTGGGTGCCTCTCCCTTTTTCCCGGGAAGGCTGCCTGTCTAGCACCTTGGCTCCTAGTTGGTCCGGCACATTTTTTTCCCCCTCTTCCCCCCCCCCCCACCCCGCTGATGCATTTCTGTAGATTCCCTTGTTCATTCGCCTCTGGTGCTCTGCAGAATAAAAAAGCTCCTTGTGAATGATTGGCTCATCTTGCTCATGAGGAATATTAGGCCCTTTCAAACTGGGTCTCTAGAGAATTGGATCCCAATGCAGTTTTCATTGCTCTTACATTTACTTTGCCAGGAAAAGAAAGACCTCGAGATAGCCCTGAGCATACAAAATGTAGGTTGGCCTACATGATGGCCACAGGGGAATAGAGAGATAGGGTACAGATAGCAAAGTCATCCCATATGCTGTGATGAGTACAGGTTATCACTGTAGGCTTAGACATGCACGTGGGGCTATGACATTGCTATTGGAAAGCACAATTCTCGGAGGTGCAAATACTGCATTCCGCTCATGTTTATTAATGTCTCAGTATAAAGACAGCTCTTTTCTTTTCATGATGCTTTGAGGAAATGTTGGAAATGGAGATGGAAGAGAGCTACTAGTTACCTAGTCCATCCCTTAAGCCAGGGCAAGATTGTTCCCTATTTGATGCCTCCCCTTCTCTGATTCCAGCAGGACATCCTTCCTCGATCAACCTCTGTCTTTGTTTAGCTCAGAGTCTACTTCCTTTGGTCTATGTTCTCTGTTACAGGTTAGTATAGTTTGTCCTGTGTATTGTAATTAGCTGCGGCCTTATAGGGTATGTCTACATTGCAATTAAAACCCCCACTGGTCTGTGCCAGCTGACTCAGGCCCACAGGGTTTGGGCTAAGGGGCTGTCTAATTGCAGAGTACACGTTTGGGCTCGGGCTGGAGCCTATACATTAGGACCCTGCAACAAGGGAGTATGTACCTCTTCCAGTGCGCGAAATACCCCCAATAGCAACTATGTGGGTGAAACCAGACAATCACTATGCTCTCAAATGAGCTCACAGGAAAATGATAAAAGACAAAAACACCCTATCACCTGTGGGCAAACACTTTTCACAAAGTGATCACTCTCTAGCTGAACTATCAGTCCTCATCCTCGAAGGAAACCTGCACAACACTTCTGAAATACGAGTCCGGAGGCTTAACTATTTAACTTTGCTAGACACTAAAAATCACGGTCTTAATAATGACACTGGATTTATGGCTTATGACAACAATCTGTAACTCACTAAACCCCCTTTTTGTCCAATGGGTGTTAATGGGCCAGTTCACCTGGAATGGTCCCTTACAATATATGCTAACTACTTATGCTAAACTATCTCTTCAGCCTTCTATTTAGCTGTAACATTGAGTACCTTTCCCAGACCTGAAGAAGAGTTCTCTGTAGGTAGAAAGCTTGTCTCTCTCACCAACAGAAGTTGGTCTCATAAAAGATATTACCTCGCCTACCTTGTCTCTCTAATAGCCTGGGACCTACATGGATATAACACTGTATATTTTATAATCCAGTATTTCTCAACATTTTTCTGGTTGGAGCTCTCCTTCCTCTCTCCACTATATCAGACTCTGCCCCCATTTCCACTCTTGCCATGACACATTTGCCTTGGTCTCTTTCCCCACATCACCTCAGTTCTATCCCTCTTGGCTCTCCCTTCCTACAGCCCCACTTCTCTTTGTCTTGCCTCTGTTGCCACATTTTCTCTCTCTTCTGCCGGAGACTGAGTGCTGCCTGCCTTACACACAGCCGGCAACACACAGGAAGAAATGCTGTTTAGTGCCATAGAGATTAGGGCAGAGGAACAGAAAAAGCAGTCAGGGACGGAGGAGAGGTGGGAGAGCCCCACTGGTGTCCATTAGAGGCCAGAAGGATGGGTGCTCCATCATCAAAGGAATCTGGCACTCTGCTCATCCCCAAACTGGGGAATCTAGTTATAATCTTTCTAAAAATATCTTCTCTGTCCAAAGGTGTTAATGTATTTTTTTTCATTATCAGTCTTCCTGTAGCCCCTATCACCCAGTACTGCTGGCATTGTTATCAATCACTGTGCCTTTCTTTTGGAAGACAGGGACACGATATTTCTCATGGTGAAATGCGTAATAGCCTCCCTCTTGTTCCTGACCAGGATTTTGGACAACCCAAGAGACTGCCTCCCAGATAATCCTTCAAGTTTTACAGTAAACCCAGTCTGTCCTGGGACAGGTCTTTGGAAGTTCAGTTAGTTTTGTGTGAATATTTATATAATGCAAATAGTTTATGTACTTCACTATGGAGTTTTAAGGAGTTCTAGGTCATACCATATTCTACCCAAACCTTACCTAACTAAATACAACTAGATTCTGCAGTGTGGTCAGAGCTGCAGTTTTTAGCAATTTGGGACACTGCGGAATTTTGAGCACTGTCTACCTGAAGTGGAGAAGTTAATGATTTATAATTAGATAAAATGTTCCAATTGTAACATCAAGTAATGGATTAGAAAAGGGCTGTGAAATTTGGGACACAACACACACATGGTGCTTTCTGACTGTCAGTGAGCTGTACTCATGACAATAATACAAAGTAATGACAAAATTCACAAAAGTGCAGAGGAGCTTGGGTGGTATCTGCTGGCACGAAACTCACCCTAAATGCACCAGGCTGACTTGATCCTTTTTGTAATTTCCATTTCTTAATTGCAAGGGAGAACTCCAGGCAGTGTAGTTCTAGCAGTTATTATGCTTCTCTTAACACAGTCCAATGCAGGCTATAGTTGCCAAGAAATGTACTGTCTATTGTGTCGTACTGCTTAATTTTTTTTTTTTTTTTTTACTACAAGAAGAACCTTTCAGCTAATCAGAATACAAAATTCTTCTAGCGATATTTCCTCATAAAATAGAGGAGACACAATTAACTGAACTTTATGTAAATGCCAGCATTTTGATTAGCTAACCTGATTAATTTTACAGTAGACAGCTTACAGATACAGCGATAGTGGAGATAGACGGAAGCAAAATGAAAGGGAATTAAGGAAGGATTTGGAGCAACAGATAAAGGGAGTCAATGGGAAAGAATAGTGACAAAAGAGGAAGAGGGAGTGTGAGCACATTACAGGATTACTTACTTTGGGGAAGGTCAAAAGGACATAGTACAAGTATGCTAAAATTATGAATGGGGATAGAGCAAACTAGTCAAGCCCCCATATTTATCCTTTCCTATAATGCAACCAGGGGGCATACAATGAAATTAAAAGACAACACAAATGACAGACTAGAAGAAATATGTTTGTGCCGTGTATGCAGAATTTTATTGATGAACGTAGCTCCATAGGTTTGCAAAAGAGAGTAAAACTTTTATATGAATAAGAATAGCAAAAATCAACCAGGGCTATTAAACCCCATGATTCATGGAAAAAACTGACTACCTCATGGGGTCAGGAAGAAATTTTCTCTTGGTGCACTAAGGGAAGTTATGGTACATTACAGAGTTACACTTTCTCTTGCATTGGTCACTGCTGGAGTCGGTATACAAGACTGCTAGTCTATTATTGCTATTTATTTGTTGCGAATTACAGACAATGGGTAAAACCCTGGCCATACTGACATCAACAGAAGTTTTGTTATTGACATCAATGTGTTCTGG